CTCTGGCATCCCAAGTGAGTTCTTAACCATCGCGCCACTCGGCCGGCCCCTGGCTGTATTTCTAAAGTCACACTTGTCTAGGCGCGCTGTCTGTGCTGTTTCCTGTCACCATCTCTAACAGGATGTATTCCTTGTCTCTCGCGTCCCGCACCCTCATCAGGCAGCGTGCCTGTCGGGCTCTCCAGTAGCTCCGTCCAGCCCTCGGTGGTCCTGGGGACGGCTGCTCTGATGTCCATGGTTCCTGCCTTCCTGTGTCCTGTAGGTGTTATCTACACATTTAAACTCCGTCAAGGCCCAAATGGCCTTGATTAAGTTAATTAACTTCTCCTAGCTCCAGTCCCTGCATCATGAAACCGCTTTTAATAAAAGCCATCTTGCAGGAACGTCAGGAGGATCAAATTCGGTTCAGGATGGGAGGAATGTCCCTTGATCGTGTGCACGCTGGACGCGCCCTGACTGTGGCCCCACGGACCCAGAGCATCTGTGCCCTTCCTACCAGAGGGGTCTGCCAGGTCTATGGCAGGATGGCCCCTCCTGGCCCCTCGTGCTTGTTTGGGGACATGTGACTTGTTCTAGACACTTAATTGTGAGCTGATGTGTCGTGTGTCCCTCCTGGGCTGGAGCATTTTATGACCAATAAAGGGCCACAGTGGCACTCTGATGGTCACCCACCATGAATGACAATGTTTTAGATGGTGTCTGCTCCGTCAGCCAGGTTCTGGAGTGAGGACAATGCAGGAGACAGCCCCTGCTGACCTTCCGTGGACATGCTGCGTGAGTGAGAAATAGACTCATTTTATGGCACTGAGATTTGGGAGATGTTTGTCACTGCAGCACAGCTTAGCCACCCTGACTGATACACCGGGGGCACCAGAAATCCCCTCCCCTTCATGACTCTGCATTAATGTGGTGAGCGCCCTGTGAGCATTCCCCAAGATGCAGCAGGCCTTTAGTGACCCTTTTTATTGACGTCTGGAGTTGGAAAAGCCAGCCTCACGTTTGAGTTGGGTCTAAGCTCTGATGGATTCAGCCAAGGCTCAGCCCAGAATTGGCGCTGATGGGACAGGTGACAGGGTCCAGAAAGCCACAAATCAGAAAGCTCTCCTACTGATGGCGGCAGAACCAATGTCCTCATACTCCTTGCTGGTGACCCACATGTCTTTGAAGGTAGAGAGTGAGCACAGGATGGAACCGCCTGCCCAGGCGCCGTATACAGAGTAGGGACAGGTGGACACCTGGATGGGGGTCAAGGGAGCAGAGAGAAGGGAAGGAAGGCGGGGAGGCAAGGGAGGGGTGGAGGGGTGGAGGGATCAGAGGGCAGAGAGCGTGAGAAACCAGAATCAGAATACCACACTAAATTGGGGCCACAAACTATCAACCCCTGAACAAACTCCATGGACAGTCACTTCTTCCCCCCAGAAAATACAATTCCTTCTACCCTTTAAACATGTGTAACAGTCCACATCCTCCCACCTGTAGCTCTCTCAGATTCACTCTAAAGTACAGGACACATTCATACATATACAGTGTCTATGTGAAAGCCATATGTGTTTTGTAGAAAAGTTAGAAAGTGCAGATAAACAGAAAGAAGAAAGCCACCAGTAACCTCACCACCTAGAGAAATCCCGTCTACGTTTAGGCATCGCTTTGAAGATGGCCTCCCTCTTGTTTCGCCCTCCCTCTTACACTGACATCTGTCGAGTGTGTATTTCCTTCACTCTCAATTCTGGGAGAGCGCAGTGCCTGAGATCCAAATCAGGCCCCCTCCGGGCGGCGAGGCGATGAGCATCTCCACACCCGTTTGCCAGGTGGGACCACTGAGGCTCCGGAAGGTTAAATTCCCTTGCTCAAGGTCAGACGGTTGTCCTCCTCCCATATTCACTGACTTTCCTCGGGGCACTTGGGTTATGTTCTGATAGTACATACTTATTATTCTAAGACGGGAGGACAAATGCAACACTGCAGGGGAAAGGGGTGGAAATGAGAATTTGGAAAACCCAAGGTACAGACAGAGGTGGGAATACAGAAGACGAGTTATCACATTCCATTACTGACACCCGCTGGCTCTGTTGCACCATAGAACTGTGCTTGGCTTGGAAATGATTTGCCGGTATTGGTTAAGAGAAGAAATATTGCTGAAATTTTAAGGAAAAAAAGGACAAAAGAGTCAGAAGGCGGGGGTGAAGGGGAGCAGGTTCAGGGTCAGGCCTCAGGCACAGAAAAGAGCCAACAGCTGGCACCAGGGTCCTCCATTCTGTCTTGTCTTCCATCAGTGAGCTGTCGCCCTGGACGGGTCACCTACCCCACCGTGTCTTATCTAAGCAAACACACAAAACCAAACAAAAGGGTGCGCAAAGCTGGGCTGATGTGTGCATCAGAAGACAGCAACACTCCCAACAGGAAAACAGATAGAGGGCTGGAGCAAGCAATTACAAACATAAGCTTAAAAAGTAAGAGGGGAGATGCAAGGTGGCGGAGTAGATAGGCACTGTGCCTGCTTCCTCCCGTGAACACATGAAAATTACAACTAAGTTACAGAACAATCAGCACGGAGAACCATGTGAAGTCTGGCTGAACAGAAGTTTTATAACTAAGGATATACAGAAGCCACCGTTGAGACTGGTAGGAGGGGCGGAGACACGGAATGGGCCCCACACCTGCGTGTGACGGATGAAAATCAGGTGGGATATCTCAGCTGCAGAGGTTCCCCCCAAGGAGCGAGGGATCCCAGCCCCACACCGGCCTCCCCAGCCCAGAGTACTAGTGCCAGGAAGAGGAGCCCCCACAGTATCTGGTTGTGAAAAACAGGGGGGATTCTGACCATCCAGGTGGGACAGAAGGCGGTGGGAAACCCAGGCGTCCTCTTCAACAGCCCGCGCACAGACCCACTCGCTCGCAGGCACTCACCTTGGGCTCCAGAGGAGGGAAGGTGGCTCGGGGAGCATCAGAGACATATGGGGGTGGCCATATGAAGTGTGTGGCCTCAGGGGGGAGGCCTGGAGTACAGTCGGCATTTTCCCTGTCTGAGGTCTTCCTCCCACACAGCCGGCAGGCGGCCGCCATTTTTCCTGTGTTGAGTCCGCCCCCTACGCTTACGGCCAAATCTGAATCTGATTGGTCTAATGACCTCCGGGGTTCCACTCTGCTGACTCACTGAGACCCTGCCCCACCCAACTCCCCCAATGCCAGAGGCACCTGCTCGTAAGCAGCCAGCCCCACCTGCACTGCACTTTCTTGGAAAACTATCGGAGTCACCAGAGGGGCAGCGACTGGCCTCAGCGTGCTCTGATACTTTTGCTGAGTAGCTCTAGGCTCAGCACTGGCACCAAACCAGTGTCTATATTAACCTGGTGACCACAATTCTTTCCACTCTAGTGACTCTGAGACCTTGCCTCACCCAACTCATGTACTGCACGAGCTTCATCAGGGGCTGAAACTTAAGGCAGCCAGCAGGTGGCAGCAGGCCTCGGGGTGTCCTGGCTTTTTGCAGAGCTACCCCAGGCCCGGTACTGGTGGCAGCTGTCCTCAGTTCACAGTGTGGCCTCTCCCATGTGATCCAGGGTTAGCACAGGCAGTGAACAACCATGGATCACTCTGTGGCTCCTCTGAGGTAGCCCCCCGGCTGGTCACAGGTGGTGGGTGACCTGGGCCTGCACCGGAGCCCCTTCTAAGAAGCCCCAGGACCAACGTACTTGGAGGTTGGCTTCAGACCACAGCAGAGCACCATCCAATTAGCTCCACAAGTGGCACACACAAAAGATGGTCTCAACAGGCACCAAAGCCCACTACGGCGAATCCCACTCAGTGGGGTAAGCCTCCTGCACAGCAGCCCATAAGCTGTGGACATGGCTAAACCCCAGTCATGCCTGAGGGTCAATCCCACCCACTGATGTGCCAATAGCAATCAGGGCTCAACTATAACAGGAGGGCACACAAAACCCACACAAGGGACAATCCTGGAGAACCACAGCAGGTGACCAGGGAGACTGTGTCACTGGGCCCCACAGGGCACCTACTACATAAGGCCACCCAGCCAAGACTGGGGGACATAGCAGATCTACCTACTACATAGAAACAAACACCGAGAGGCAGCAAAGTGAGGAAACAAAGAAACATGTCCCAAATGAAAGAACAGGAGAAAACTCCAGAAAAAGAACTAAATGAAACACAGACAAGTTACCTACCAGAGACAGAGTTCAAAACACTGGTTCTAAGGATGCTCAAGGAACTTAGTGAGAACTTCACCAGACAGATAGCAAGAATAAAAAAGGACATAGAAACCATAAAAACAACCAGTCAGAAGTGAAGAATACAGCAACTGAAATGAAGAATGCACTAGAAGGAATCACCAGCAGACCAGATGGAGCAGAGGATTGAATCAGTGATTTGCAAGACAAGGTAGCAGAAAACACCCAACCAGAACAGCAAAAAGAAAAAAGAATCAAAAAAATTGAAGATGGTTTAAGAGACCTCTGGGACAACATCAAGCATACTAACATTCACATCATAGGGGTACCAGACGGAGAAGAGAGAAAGCAAGGGATTGAGAACCTATTTGAAGAAATAATGACTGAAAACTGTCCTAACCTGTGAAGGAAATAAGACATACAAGCCCATGAAGTGCAGCGAGTTCCCAACAAGATGAACCCAAACAGGCCCACACCAACATTATAATTAAAATGACAAAGGTTCAAGACAAAGAGTGAATCCTAAAAACAGCAAGGTAAAAGCAACTAGTAACTTACAAGGGAGCCCCCATAAGATTGTCAGCTGATTTCTAAGCAGCAATTTTGCAGGACAGGAGGGGTTGGCACAAAATACTCAATGTGATAAAAAGCAAGGACTTATAATCAAGGGTACTCTACCCAGCCAGGCTATCATTTAGAATCAAAGGACAGATAAAGAGCTTCCCAGACAAGCAAAAGCTAAAGGAGTTCATCACCACCAAACCAGTATCACAAGGGATGTTAGAGGGACTTAAGATAGAAAAAAAAATCATGAATAATAACATGGCAATAGCTACATATCTATCAACAATTTCAATGTAAATGGATTAAATGCTCCAATCAAAAGACACTGTAGGGCTGAATGGATAAGAAAACAAGACCCTTACATATGCTGCCTACAAGAGACTCACTTAAGATTGAAAGACAGGGCCGGCCGAGTGTCGCGCTGGTTAAGAACTGGCTTGGGACGCCAGAGGGCCCCGGTTCGGATCCCACATATGAGGGCCAGTGACACTGCCCTCCACAGCTAAGATGCTGAACAACAGCTCAACCTGGAGCTGGGCTGCCGTGAGTTGCTGGCGACGGCGTAGGCTGCAGCCCCTGCTGCAGTGGGTTGCTATGGGCTACCGTGTGTAGCCAGCAGCCAGCGTGAGCGGCCAGCAGCCGCAGTGAGCAGCCGTCCAGAAGCCTGTGACGGATCTGCCTCACCCGGGAAGAGCACAATGATGGTGCCAACTTGGGCCAGTGAAGCAATGTCCTCCACAACTAGATTGAAGAACAAAAAACGACAGCAACTTGTCTGTTCCCCTTCCCCCAATTCCCCAGCAATGTTCCCATCCCCCCAATTCACCAATAAAAATCTTTAAAAAAAAAAAGATTGAAAGACACACAGACAGAAAGTAAAGGGATGGAAAAAGATATTTCATAAAAATGGAAATTAAAAAAAACAAAAAAATTGGGGTAGCAATGTTTATACCAGACAAAACAGACTTTAAAACAAAGGCTATACCAAGTGACAAAAAATGATCCAGTAATCCCACTTCAGGGTGTTTATCTGAAGAAACCCAAATGCTACTCAAGTGGACGTGTGCATTCATATGTTCATTGCAGCATTGTTTACAATAGCCAAGATGTGGAGGCAGCCTGGGTGTCTGTCGATGGAAGAATGGATAAAGAGGAGGTGGTGCATATATACAGTGGAATATTGCTCTGCCAGGGAAGGGAATGGGTTCTTGCCATCTGCAGCGGCATGGATGGACCTAGAGGGTGTTGTGCTGAGTGGAATATGTCAGAAAGAGAAAGACAGATGCAATGTAATTACGCTTATATGTGGAATCTAAGGACAAAATTAACCAACAAAACAGAAACAAACTCATAGATACAGAGAACATTTGATGGTTACCAGATGGGAGGGGGTTTTGGGGTATGGGTGAAAAAGGGGGAAGGGGTTAAGAAGTACAAATTGGTTCTTACAAAGTCGTCATGGGGATGTAGGTACAGCATAAGAAATATAGTCAATAATATTGTAATAACTGTGTATTGTGTCAGACAGGTACTAGATTTGTTGGGGTGATAGAAGGGAAGGAGTTGGGGGTAGGGTGAGAAAGGTGAGGGGATTAAAAAGTACAAGTTGGTAGTTACAAAACAGTAATGGGGATATAAAGTAAAGCGTAGGGAATATATTGGGCTGTTGGAAAAGTCATGATGCATTTTTGCAACAAAAAACATAGAAAAATATGTCATGACTTTTCCGACAACCCAATAGTCAATGATATGGTAATAACTATGTATGGTGCCAGGTGGGGACTAGACTAGTCAGGGGAATCACTTCTTAAATTATGTAAGTGTATAACCACTATGATGTACACCTGAAATTAATATAAAATAATATTGAGTGTCAACTTAATTGAAAATTTTAAAAAGGAGAGAAAAAGATGAAGGGGAATAAGAGGTCCAAATTTCCAGCTATAAAACAAATAAGTCATGGGGGTGTAATGTACAGCACAGGGAATATAGTCAATAATATTGTGACAGCATGGGATGGTGTCAGATGGTTGCTGGGCTTATCATGGTGGTCACTTCTTTATAAATGTTGAATAACTATGGTGTTCACCTGACACTAATATTGTATGTTAGCTATATTTTAATAAAAATCTTCAAAAAAAGCCAACAAAAAACCGGGTCAGCTGAGTGGCTCCTTGGTTAAGAGTTGGCTTGGGAACACGAGCTCTGAGCAGCAGGGCCGCCGGTTCAGATCCCACATGGGCCAGTGACACTGTGCCCTCTACAGCTAAGATGGTGAACAACAACTCGACCAGGAGCTGGGCTCCCGTGAGTTGCCAGTGACGGCATAGGCTGCAGTGGAGCTGAAGTGGGCTGTTGTGAGTGGCCGCGAGTTACCGTGAGTGGCCAGTAGCCAGCGTGAGCGGCCGGTAGCTGGAGTGAGCTGCCGTCCAATGGCCAGCGACCGATATGCCTCAGCCAGGAAGAGCGCAATGATCACAATACCAACTTGGGCCAGTGAAGCAACATCCTCCACAACTAGACTGAAGAACAAAAGGACAGCAACTTGTCTGTTCCCCTTCCCCGATTCCCCAACACAGTTCCCCTCCCCTAATTCCCCAATAAAATCTTTAAAAAATAAAATAAATAAATAAAAATAAACAAGGGGCCGTCCGAGTGTCTCAGTTGCTTAACAGCATTGCTGGTTCGATTCCCACATGGGTCAGTGAGCTGCGCCTGAGCTGAGCTGCTGCTGAGCTGCCAACAGGTGACAGGATGGCTCAGCTGGTGAGAGCACGTGCTCCTAGCAACAAGGTTTCTGGTTCTACTCCACATGGGATGGTGGGCTATGCCCACCCGCAACTAAGATTGAACATGGCATCTTGAGCTGAGCAGCCGCGAGCTGCTGACAGGTGGCTGGATGGCGACTGGAATTGGAGCTGAGCTAGCTGCGCCCTCCACAACTAAGACCGAAGGACGACGACTTGGCTGTTCCCCTTCCCCAATTCCCCAACACCGTTCCCCTTCCCCAATTCCCCAATAAATCTTAATAAATAAATAGATAAATAAATAAACAAACGAAGAAAAGAGAAAAACTATAGCCAGCTAGGAAACATGAGCACAACCGTTCACCTTTGTTAGTCATTAAAGGAATACAAGTTAAAACAGTCACTTGCTTTCCACCTCTCCAGTTGGGAAGAGAGTTTGAACCTCGATGGCGCCCGAGCTGGAGTGCCCAGGTAGGGGAGCTGCCTCGCCTGCAGGATGGGGCTGGAGGCTTCGAGGGCAGTGTGGCCATATGCTCCTAAAGCCTTCAACTGCACACATTCCCAGCTCAGGAAACCCACGTGTAGAGGTGGACGCTATGGGAGGAAAACCATTCTAAAGAGATAAGGGGAAATGACGGCCGAAATTGTCTCCCGAGAACATTATGATCACAGCATTTAGGCTGCTGGGAGAGACCACCGTTTTAAAGTTGGCCCCACGGGAACGAGCTGCTCCCTAATGGGGGACGAGTTCGCTTCAGGGAGAGAACGCCTCTCTTCTTTAGGGGAACAATGTAATGGGCTCTGTGGATGATTACAGGTGTATCCACAACCCCTTCACCACCAGACATAGTCTAGACAGGAGAGAAATTCGTTTCAATACAGTTACAAAAAATGGGTGCTTCCTTCAAGTTTCATATGGAGGTCTTGGGGGGTTGGGGGGACCTTGAGGACTCAGAAGAGAGGTGAGTGGAGGAGCTCGGTCCAGAACTCAGCTCAGCCACAGGCTGGCAGGACAAAGCCGACAGGGAAGGAAAGATGACCAGGGAGGCAGCCTTTGCAAAGGTGGTTGGAAACTTCGGATGGGATCACCTTTCCGTTTGTCTTCCCCTCCGGGCGAAGCGGCACCTTCTTTTTGGATTTGGGGAAAGTTCATTACAGGCAGCGGCCGCTGCTCAGATGCCCTTGGCAATGGGAACGACAGCTCGCCAACAGCGTGTAAACGTCTGGCGTCACGTGACAGGTGCAGGAGGGCCGCAGACTTAGTGGGTGGGATGGCAGGTTGGGAACAGTTTTCAATATTACAGGCATTTTTGTAGCATCACATAAGATCATATAAGGAAGACTGCGGACTCAGGAAGCGCAAAGACAAGGGGTACACGCTCTCCTCTAAATATGTGGGATGCGTAAACTGTTTCATGTGGGGTGCAGTGTTAGAAAGCAGGGATGGTCTCCAGTACGACATGGATTTTTACCTTATAGAGAGGCTGCCGACCTCGGACATGAGCGGCAGGAGCGTGTGAGTGTGTGAGTGTGAGTGTGTGTGTCTGTGTGTGTGTGTGTGTGTCCGCGCACGTGCAGTACCAGAGGGTGTATCCCTCCCCAGAACTCCCTCTCGCATTGTCCGGTGACAGTCCCTGCTCTGCAGGAGGGACAGACCAGACCCAGAATAGGATGTTTATTCCGGGTTCACTGCCACACATCGCCCTGGGTGACCAAGCCCACTTCTCAGTTCTCATTTGTGGGAGCAAACCCTTGCCGATTGAGGAAAAGACTGGAGTCAGGGTTGGGGTGACAGTAAAGGCTCAGAGGTTGCAGGTGGTGGGGGGAGGGGTGAACAGGAGGAGCACCGGCATTTTGAGGTGAATTGTGGCACAGTTACAGAAGGGAGGCTGTCCTGCAGGATGACACTGTGATGGTGGCTGCAAGACACTGAATTCTCCTCACAGCCACAAAATGTGCCACACCGAGAGTGAGCCTTCGACTTCAGCTAGTGATAATGGTATCGGTTCATCAGTGGTGATGACTGCTCTCACTCATGCAAGATGTGAGGCGCATGTCACAGGGGACGCTACGTGGGGGGGACCTGTGTCACAGGAGGGGGAGCTATGCAAAGACTCTATTGTCTGCTCTAAAACATAAAGCCTATTGTTTTTACAATAAAGACAATTTGAAGAGGTGGTGGGATGATGGGGGAGCCCCCAAAGGGGCCGGGGGCCGGGCAGGGTTGCTGACTTCCTACGGCCGGTCAGGACGGGCTTGAAGGCAGGTCGGGTCTTCTGGGTACGCTGAGCCAGGGAAGCCTTTTGCATCCTGTCTGCAAGCGTGGCCTCTCTGGGTCACCAACCTCCCTCTCCATGGAGGGTCACTTGAGTTCGGTCCTTGTCCCTGTCTGTCTAAACTCCTCTGTGCAGTCCCGTCTGTCTGTAAGCACCACGCCTCCACTGAAGATGTCACACGTGCCCCAAACGCTCTGTATCCCACCCCGACATCTGCTCTCCAATGACAGGAGGCGTCTCAAACTCGCCGGGTCCAAAGCACTCTTGACGTCTCCGGACGCTGCGCCTACCACGCTGTTGTTCATCTCAGGGTGGCATCTGCATGTCCCCAGGTGTTCAGGCCAGAACACCGGGAGACACACCTGGCTCCTCTCCCTCTCACAGCCCACATCGACTCTCCCTGCAAATCCTGTCACCTTGGCTTTCACGTGTATGTGGAGTTGAGCCACCTCCATCCCTGCACTGCCTGCTCGGAGCCACCAGCATCTTTGCTGGAATCCTGGCACCACCTTCCACCTGCATCCCGACAGCCTGCTGTCCCCATCCCGACGGCGTCCCCCGACCCGGCAGCCCGAGCCCTCCTCCAGGGCCTGGTGCAGTCGTGTCATTGCTCTGCTCAGACCTTCCGGTGGGTTCCAGTTTCTCTCAAGGTAAACGCCTTCCACAGCTTCTCCAGCCTCGTTTCCCCTTCTCCCTTTCTCAGCCCAGCCAACCCTTCCCACCCCTTCCTCCAGGAAGGGAGCCTCTGGGCTGCTGCATGGGCTGTTCCCTCTGCCTGAACACTCTTCCCCAGATGTGCACACGGCTCCCCCTCACCTCCTTCACACGTTCACCCACGTGCCACCTTCCTGAGAGACCTCCCTCCCACCGCCGCTCAGACCGCCCCCTCCTCCGCTGCTTCCCCGCGTGCTTTGTAGCCCCTTCCAACAGAAACTTCCATGGACATGGGCCTGCGGTGTCCACTGCGCCCCCCACCGGAACGGAAGCTCCAGGCGCTTGCCCCTTCTGTTTGCTGATGCTCCCTGAGCCAGGACACGTGCCTGGCACCTCAGAGGCTTCCAGAAATACCTGGGATGACTCGGGTGGGTGGGAGGACATACCCTCACGTGAATGGTGGGGGACACCAGTGTTGAGAGCTCTCTCTGCATCCGGAACCTCAGGCCTAAGCAGGAGCCTGTGCCTCCGGAAAACACCACGTGGCCAAAGAGGCTCTTCCAGAGGGCGGGGCTGCAGGAGCTGATGCTGCGGAAGGCGGTCATGTGGATACCCAGGCTGTGTCGCCCTGGCAGGGAGGGCGGAGGAGAGGACGTGGGGACAGGGCTGCGGCTGGCTGCACGCCTGGCCCCCCAAGTCTCAGCAACCAGTGCGGCGGGCAAACGTCAGCCCCACCCAGCAGTCATGGGACTCAACCGCTGATGACTGAGTAATAACTGCTTATTCACCTCTCTCAACCAGGGAACTCACACCCAAGGGTTACTGACAAGTATGCATTTTTAATGCCTTGGTACCAATTACACGATTCATAGGAATCCTCTAGGATGTGCCTAGCCCAAAGAGTGTGTGCAGTGAATGCTCTGCTCTCCTCATAATTACGGTTATTCTCACACTCATGTGCTCTGCTATCCTCATAATTACGGTTATTCTCGACTCACTGTGGAGTATAAATAATACAAATGAAAGAGAAAACTTGCAGCCCAGCACACTAGTTAATCACACATGACAAATATTTAACACTCCCCAGTGGGTTTCCTCATCTGTAACATGGGATAATAAGAGATGTGGGGGAGGACCATGAGATACAACCCATGAGCAATGGTCAGCAAAGTGACAGGCATATAGTAGGTGCTTAATAAGTAGTAGATGATAGCAGAGGAAGTTTTGAAATTGCCATATTTGCTACCCAAAGTAGAATCCCCTCCCGGCTGCCCCAGCCTGTGCCCCTGACAGTGAGCCTGGCTGTCTGTTTGTCTGAGTCTGGGCTCACCTGTCCTCCCTACCCACTCACCTATGAGGTCTGTCTGGAAAAGCACTTCGGGACAGAAGAAACTCTCTGGCCCAATGTCGATCTCCCGGCCATCAGGCAGCTGATATTTCTGTGTGGAAGAAGGTGAATGGGCTTCTATTTTTTCCTTGTCAAAGTCCAAAGCCACATAGCAACATTTCTCTTTCATGTCCCGGATGTACTCCCGGTCACCTGTGAAAGAAAGGCAGTGGGCCAGATAGAAAAGGGTACACAGGTAAGATGAGGTCACAAAAGAGCACCACCTAGAGAGCACCATCCTGAAGATGCAGTGCCTTGTGGTGGGGATGAGACAGAGTGACTGTAGCTCTTTCCATCACCATCACCATCCTCACCATCACCACCATCACCATCACCATCACCATCACCATCCTCACCATCACCATCATCACCATCACCATCATCACCACCATCATCACCACCACCATCACCATCATCACCACCACCACCATCATCATTCTCACCATCATCACCATCACCATCACCACCATCACCACCACCACCACCATCACCACCACCATCACCATCACCACCATCACCACCACCACCATCACCATCACCATCACCATCATCATTCTCACCATCACCACCATCACCACCACTATCACCATCACCACCATCACCATCATCATCACCATCGTCATCACCATCACCCTCATTGTCATTATCAATCCACTAAATGTCCCTAGACATAAGATGGGTTGTTTTTAGAACCTGGATGATGGTCAAGTAACCTCAGCTTTACAAACTGAAGGCTGTAGGTTAAGCAAGTCAAATAGGACATTACACTTCAGGGACTGGTTTATCTGGCCAAGAATAACCATTTCCTACCTGTGCCCGTAAACGAGTGCCCCCTTTTTGACAGGAGTTGCAGGAGGTACAAGGTTATATCTTGGCCTGCCATGTCCATCTTCATGGTCGACTGGTGCAGAGGACAGCCATCAGTGATGGGCACGAAGTATGTCATTCCTTCTCCAGATTCGATGGTTGTTCCTACACAAGAGAACACGCTGGCCTCATGATGCAGAGTGCATGGCATCTCTCATCAATGGTCAGGTCTGCAGGGAGAGACGGCAGAGAGGGAATGACTGGAGGGGGAGTCAAGGGCCTGAGGAGCAAACTTTCTCCCTCCACACAGTCAGACCAGGGGCTGGCTTTTTAGACAGGAAGGCTGCAGCTATTTTTATTAAACCATAGATACAGGAATTGGCAGCAGCTGCCAAAGAGGTAAAAGCAGAAGAACACCACTCTGCCCTAACACCTTTTTCTCTAAAGAACTGTCTGTGTGGATGGGGACCTGGGGCGTCTCTGGGTGGCACTGGAGTGGCCAGAGCATCTGAATGCAGTTAGCACGGCTTCTCCAAAAGGATGTGACATGGGGATGGGAACATGTGGCCTCACTTTGTGTGACATGGTGCCTTCTGGAACCGTCCAGAGCTGATTAGGGTCTGGGTAGTTGGCATCTTTCACCTGTCGAATCTGGCAACCAAGAACCTCAAATTTAAGGGAAGCGAAATGAGTCGAGAAGAACTCCACATCTACCTAAGGTGGGGAACAAACAGTGGGTCCCGCCCCACCTGGAACACCTACAAAAGAGGACAAAATACAGGAAACGACAGTTTTCTAGGTGCTGGACATCAGGCAACAAAGGACAGCGGTCCCTGAGAGGCAGGACATCACAAGAAACATCAGTCGACCATCGTCCCTCAGGCACATAGACACAAAACTCCCAAGCAAAATTTCAGCAAATTGAATTTGACCGCATATCAAAAGTATAACATGTCATGGCCAAGTGGGTTTTATCTCAAGAATACAAGGTTGTTTTAACATTAAAAAAATCAATCAATGTAATTCACCATATTCAAGAGCTAAAAAAGAAAATCCAGATGATTGTATCCACAGATGCAGAAAATGCATTGGACAAAACTCAACATCCATTCATAAGAAAAAAAACAACTCTCAATGAACTAAGAATACAAAAGCACTTCCTCACATTGATAAAAGATGTCTGTGCAAAACCTACAGCTAACATTGTAGTCAGTGGTAAGACTGAGCAATTTCCCTCTAAGATCAGGGATAAGACATGCTTTGTACTGGAGATTCTAGCCAGCGCAACCAAGTAAGAAATACAATAAGAAGCATCCAGTTTGGAAACAAAGAAGTAAAACTATCTATAGACAACATGATTGCCTAAGTAGAAAATCCTATGAAATCTACAAAACAAAACAAACAAACAAACAAAAAACAACCAACACAGATGAGTTTAGTTAGGGTACCAGGATACAATACCAATATACAAAAATCAACTGTATTTCTATATACTAGCAATGAACAATCAGAAATTCAAATAAAGGTATCGTTTACAATACTGTAGTTTCAAAATACTATTGAAACACTTAGAGATCAATCTGACAAAAGATACGCAGGATTCGTAGCCATACACTATTAACCACAAAAGATTGCCAAGAGAAATGAAAGAATATCGAGAAAGTATATACCATATTCATTTGCTGGAAGACTCAATATTGTTAAGATGTCAGTTCTCCCCAAATTGATCTACAGGTTCAGTGCAGCTCCAATCAAAACCTAAAGAGGCTTTTTTTTTTAGCAGAAATTGAAAAACTCATTATAACATTCATATGGTAATGCAAAGAACCTAGGATGGACAAAACATTATCAAAGACAACAGACCAAAGGTGTAGCACTAATGCTTTTATTCCAAGACTTATAAAGCTACAGTACATAATCAAGACAATGTGTATTAACCTACAGTTACACAAATAGATTGATGGGACAGAATAGAGTATAGAAATAGACCCACACATATATTTATATTTTCAAAAAAATGTGTAAAGGCAACTCAGTGAAGAAAACAGTCTTTTCAATAAGTAACATGGGAACAATTGGACATCTATACGTATTTTAAAAACTTCATTTGCACTTTATACTATATAAAGATGTATTCAAAATGGATCATAGAACTAAATGTAAAACTAAAAATTATAAAACTCCTAGAAGAAAACGTAGCAGAACACCTTTGGTTTCAGCATCTATTTCTTAGACATGACACAAAAGCAAGAGTCACAAAAAACCAATCTGATCAATTGGACTTCACTGAAACTAAAAACTTCTGTTCTTCAAAAGACATGGCGAGAGAACGAAAACTCAAGCCATAGACTCAGAGCAAATACTTGCAAAACACACATCTGATAACAGACACACCCAGGATACGGAAAGAATTCTCAAAACTCACACATAAACAACCCAGTGTTAAAATTGGGTAAAACATTTGAACAGACACTTCACTGGGGTAGGTACGTGGATGGTAAACACGCATCTGAGAGGTACTCAACATCGCTGGTCGTTAGGGAAATATGAACCAAAACCGCAGTGGGACACCACCACACACCCATCAGAAAATTAAAAAGACCGACCATGCCAAGTGTTGGTGAGGACATGGGGGAGCTGGAATGCTCTCATGGGGCTGGCCGGCAGGAATGCGAAACCGTGCACGCAATCACTTTGGCAACTAGTGTGGCAGATTTCTGACAACATTAAGCATACACCTGCCATGTGACCCAGCCGTTTCACTTCTACACATTTACCCCAACGAAACGAAAGCACACGTCCGTGCGAAGTCTTGTACACACATGTTCACAGCAGCTTCCTAGCAGCCCCAAGCTGGAAACAACCCCCAGGTCCACTCATAGGTGACTAGATAAATACGGTGCATTCATACAGCGGGATGCACCTCAGAAACAGAGCTACTGATACAAACAGCCACACAAACGAATCCCCAAATAACTATGCTGAGTGGGGAAAACAGCCATACAAAACGAGCACATACCCTGCGTGAGTCCATTTATAAAAAATTCCAGAAAATGCAAACTCATCTACGGGGACAGACTGGCGGCTGCCTGAGCACAGACTGGAGGGGGCGTGCTGGGGCGTAGGGGTGGGAGAGAAACGTGTGGAGGTGCCAGGTGTGTTCACCATCCTGCCTGTGATGGATGGCGTCAGGAGTGTATCCACGAGACTACACCTTAACCACATGCAGTTTATTGTATGTCAGTCACACCTCACTAAAGCTGTCCAGGAAAAAAACGTGAGTCAAGTGAGAGCAAACTGTTTAACTAGGAGGGATGAAAAGGGAAGGAGGCAGGAAAAGGGCTGGCGAGTGCACGTTTTATGGATTTTCCTTTTGTTATTTGCAGGCAGGGGGTGGGCGAGAACTCAGGGGGGCGGACTTCCGCAGGACCACTCACCAGTCGTTAGGCCCGAGGCATAGAGAGACAGGACTCCTTGGTTGGCTAAATACAGGGCAGGCACGTTGAAGGTCTCAAACAGGATCTGTGGAGAAGCACGGGCCCCAGGTCAGCAGGCAGAGGAGGGGGTGGTCTTACTTCCTGGGGTGCATGGGTCCCGCTTGCAGGAGGCCCTTGGTTCCCCTAAGGAGATGCGTGAGAAAGCGCGCCACTCTTCGTCCCAGCTCTGTGACTCTGTTTCCTAGTTTGTAAAATGGGCTGACACCTTTCCCAGGCATCTTACAGGAGGGTCGAGAGAGCATCTCACTGCCTTGTAAAGCACCGTTTTATCAGGACGGAGACCATGCTGAATTTCCTGCCTCAGGGAAGCCCCTGTTCTCCCCCCTTTCTGCGCTCGACAGAAATTCCAACAGACCTGAGAAGACATGCTGGTGTCACAATAACGGAAAACAAAGAAAGCTAACGGTGGTGTGTTAACTGTATGCCACTTAGTCCAGACATGGCTTGGTCAGGAGGTATCTCCTGGGTGCTGACTGCCAACCAGAAGGAAACACAGCCTTGCTTTTACTGCCCACGCCGAAGCATGTGACATTGAACTCCTCCCTTGTCCACACGCGAGACCAGGGGACGGGGATGTGAGGGAGCAGGGGGCAGAGGCAGGGCATGAACACAGGCTCCTGGCTCCGTGAAAGTGGCTGGGTGAGCAAGTGATTCTTCTGCGAGACGGTGACACTGGCGTCTGTAAGGTTAAAGGTTCTTTGGATGGCAGGACCCAGCACAGCGTCACCTGGACTGATGAGAGGCCGGCTTCGTCAGGTGTAGCTCCAAACCGGAGAAGGCTTCCTGGCAGGGCCATGGGGGCTGCACCAGGGACAGAGGGACAGCAAGCTGGAGCAGCTGGGGGCAGCTCACGGATGGCCTGCAGGGTGGGGTTCGCGAGGCTTCCCGGGTCCCTGTGGGTTGGCTTATCTGAGTGATTTCGCAGGCTCCTGGGCACAGGCGCTGGTCCCCGGCTCTGGGGTGATTAGGACGGGCGGAGAGTGGCCCTGCACGGCAGGACAATAAGGGACGTGGCTGGGGTGTGGGCTGAATCAGTTGCCCAAGTGGAGAACTGACCGGCCTCTAGCAAAGCCCTCACAACCGGGTCACGACAGCATTTTGAAAAATGACATTACCCACGTCCGGGATACACCCCTGAGCGTGTGACTAGGGGACAGCCGTCTCTGGGGGTGTCACCCAAGGGAAGTGAAGGCACGTGTCCATACAGAGACCAGTTCTCACCTACTCACAGCGGGTTTATTCACAACAGCCCCAAACTGGGCACCGCAGACGTGCATTGAGGGGAAGGGAACCTGCAGTGTGACGTGTGGGAGCTGTTCCACCGCAAAGGGCTGTGGGGACAAGCATAGCAGCACCTGTGGGTTTGAGCGTCTCTTGGCAGCCCCGGAATTTGGATGAGGGAGGGCACCACTCAAAGTGGGAGGGCACCTTTCGGGACCCCACCAGAGGCCCCTCCCCCTAAAAACACAAGGGCATGAACCAACCTCAGCTCTCCCGGCCCGGCATGAGGCCAGAGCTCACGGAGCTTGGAAGGACCCTCAGGGCTTCTGCAGTCAAACCCCCAGTTTACAGACGAGGACACTGAGGCCCGGGGACAGCAAGCACCAGCGTTTACAGAACGCGCCGGGGATGCGTGCTGTGACGAGCGCTGTACGGCACCGACGCACCTTGTCTCCATGGCGGCCCCCTGGGCGATGCCGTTATCATCCTTCCGATGAGGGAACCAAGACACTGTGAGGGCCAGTGGTCCACCGAGGTCATGCGTGCTGGGACAGCCAGTGCCAGAACCAGGGGGCCCTTCCCTGTGCATGGGGAGAGCCCCCCATGGCCCCTCTTCTGGGACAGGGACCCCAGGTCCCCTTAAGACGCAGACTTCTTTCAGGAGGAAAATCAGCCCTGAGCTTCTCAGTCGGTCCCAGCCTCCGGGACGAGCCCTAGAGATTGGCTGCAGGACACAGGCAGGGACCCTGCTGCAGGCAGAGGCCACCACTGTCCAGCCCTCTGGCCTCCTGTGAGGTGGCACTCCTCGTGGCCCGGAGAGGTTCGGGCTGCCTTGATGGCTGCCTTCCGTTTGCCTGCAGGGCCATCGCCGTCTCCCTGGGCTGCAGTCACAGCTCCCTTTCCCTGGGTGGCCCACTGGGCTCTGCTCACAGGGCCCCCCAGAAGGGCCCAAGGGAGTGGGGCGAGGGAGGTGGGGCACTGATGGTCCTTCCTGGTGACAGTCCTTTCTCAGTGCTGGCAACCACTACTGCTGTTTCACGTTTGGGGGTAACAGCCCCCCGTTACTAGCCTGGAGCTCTGCAGTGTCTCGTGTTGCTTTTCTAAAACTTCTGCTCGCTTTTGTACGCAATCTCTTCAGTACACTTTCACCCAAACTACCCCATGGGGGCGTGCCTCTGCTTTCCTGGTGGGACCCCGACAGTGAGGGGGTGGGTTTGGAGAGAGCCAGGGTAGAGAGGCAGGCGTGGGCCTGGGGCAGGCGGGCACATGCTGCAGACAGGCTGTGTGGCCGGCGCCGTGGTTTGTGTGAGGGTTAATGTCACGTGCCCACCTGACTGGGTGATGGGGGCGGGGCGCCAGACAGTTGGACAGTTGTCATTCTGGGTGCATCTGTGAGAGCGTTTCTGGATGAGATTCACACTGAAGTCAACAGTGAGTCAGGCAGACTGTCCTCCCCAGTGCGGTGGTCCTCGTCCAAGCAGTCGAAGGTCTGAATAGAACGAAAGGCCTGACCTTCCCCCAGAAAGGAGGGAACGAACCCCTCTTCCTGATGACCTTTGAACTGGGACACCATTTTGTCCTCCCTTTGGACTGGAACGGACACCATCGGCTCTCTTGGGGCTCGAGCCGGCTGCTTCACCCTGGGACGTGTCAGCCTCCATAACTGCGTGAGCCAACTCCTTATAACAAATCTCTCCATACGTGCCACCTACTGTTCCGTTTCTCTGGAGGACCCCGACTAAGACAGTTCGGGTGAGGGGCATCCTGTCTCTCTCCATTAACCAGCTCATTGGGACACGGGGCGTTCTCAAAGCTGGGACCTGCTGTTTCCCGGCTGTGGGCTGTGTGCCCGGTCCACGTGGAGCCCAGCGGTGGCCCACTTCTGTGGCCCTGTCCATGTGCAGAGGGGGTTTCATCGGCCCCCTCAGGGCTTTGTTTTAAATGCGGTGGCAGCTCACACCTGCGCTGTGATCAATGGTGCCGTTTCTGGGCCACACACGAGCCGCTGGGCCTGCTCCCAGGGTCACTGCTCGCGGAGGGAGATGCCACTGGGCCGCTGGGCCCCACAGACTCGGGCCAGCTGGTGGAGCCTGGCTGCTTGCTTAATTAGTTCATCCCAGACCTCATTAGGCAAAGCCTAACGGCATAACTGGAGCACGGGCAGCCAGCAGCAGCCCCTGCAGGCCCACCCACCTGGACCCCACTCCAGCCCTGAGGGGGGCTCTGCAGTGCGTAGGGGCAGGGATGGGGGGCTCCTTTATTCACCAGCCTACGCCCTTCACGGGCACCACCAACCGGTTCAATCTGGTGTAATCTTATCAGCACACGCCCCCAACTCCTTCCTGGGTGGGGTGAGGCTCAGAGAAGGAGGGGACCCGGGGGCTTTTAAGTCAGGGCTAGACGTCCAGGCAGGAAGCACCAGATGACAGAGCTGAGAATGGGGCCGTGGAGCCAGACTGTGGGTCCCGGTGAGTCTGCCAGCCACTCGCCCTGTGACCTTGGCCAGATTACTTACGCTCCTGGCCACTCCAGTTTCTTCTTCAACTGTGCCCCGAGGCCAGTAATCACCCTGACCCAGAGAGTGGCCATAAGGTGTAAATTCAACAATTGATAGTGAACATCTAGCCCCCTCTGACTGCTTGGGAGCTCTCCATGGTAGCCCACATTCTTGCCAAAACGTCCACGGGCACAGCTCTCACTGGTGTCTTTATCTCGCTGAGCAAAGAGAAGGTGACGTCCTGGGAGCCACCCCTGTGGCCTGCTTCCTATCCCCACCCGCCACCTGGCCTCTTACCTGCGACACTTTCTCTTTGTTGGATATGCTGTTTAAAGGTGGTTCTGTGAGCATCAGAGGGTGCTGCTCTGGGGCCACGTGGAGCAGCTGGTAGAAGGAGTGATGCCAGATCTGTGGAGAGAGGGCGGCACGGTGAGGCGCGGCTGTGAGCACGGCAGCCTGACACAGGGGACAGGCCTGTCTACACCTCGGAGCGGCTTCTGAGTCAGCAGGGGAGGGGCCGCGCGGCTTCGGACAAGTCGCAGAGCCTCCATCTGTGAGCCGGGCTTATGTCAGGAAGGGGAGCTACGTGGAGGGGAAAATCAGACCCCTTCCTCAGCGACAAGGAAACAGGGCAGAAAGGCCAAGTCATGCGCCCAAAATGCCGCAGGTCATGAGTGGTGGGGACAGGGTCCAGACTCTCGTCTCTGACTCCAGAACCTACGTGGTTAGTACCGCGACGGAGTGTCTACAGGGACCGTGAGCTAGAGATGCCGAGGGAGCCCTGGGTGCCAGCAGGACACCCCTTCCCAGGTGCCAGGGCAGCGGGGGCCCCGTGAGCAGGCCCCACCCCACCAGAAGCGCAGCCCACCTTCTCCATGCTGTCCCAGTTGGTAACGGTGGCCCGAGAGATGGGGGACTGCAGGCTGAGCTTCGCTCGTCCTTCCTGAGCCTCCTCCCCGATGAACCAGTCTTCCTCTTCCAGCCCCACCAGCGGGTTCTGGGAAGCACAGGCCAGGACAGGTGAGCTCTCGGGAGCAACTCGCCTGCTCGCAGCTGTCATGTTCGGCACACACTGAGGCAGGGCTGGGCGTCGTGACGTGCTATCGGGGACGGCTCTGAGTCACGGGGCTGGTGGCAGCGGTGGCCTTCCCAAGCCCGTACACTATTTCAAAATGCCACTGGGAGGCTTCAGCAAATGACCTGCACGTAAAAGTGCTCCAAAGGGACCACGGCTGGACACTCATCTTGCCCGCCTGTAGGTGACACTGAGGGCGACAATGGAGGCGGCGGCAGAGGAAGGGATGGCGTGGGGGAGAGGCACCTGTTTCCACATGTGCTTTGGGCTGTCGGCGGGGAGAGGGTCTGCAACGTAATTTAATTTCTGTTACGTTTAGGAAGATGAACCTAGCTGCTTTCGTGGAAGATTAAACCATTCATTCTGTCACTCGGAGGGGATTTGCCAGTCGGTCCATCTGTTAATCTGGGTTCACCAAAGAGCAGACACCAAAACAGGATTAAAGGTACAAGGGTTTCATGAGGGAAGACGTCTGTGTGACAGAAAGTGCAGAGGGCACCAGACAGGCGCGGAGAGGCCGGCTGCTGTCCCAGCCTGAGCCTGGGTGCAGGGGAGAAGGCTGGCTGGGTGTCCCGGGAGGAAGGTTTGGCCAGGCCGCTGGGGAGTTCTTCAGCCAAAGTCATTATCAGAGGATGCCCGTGTCTCCCAGAAATGGGTCTACCTACGCACCCCTCCATGCTCAGGGGTTGGCTAAGTCAGTCTGTGGGAAGCATGGCCTTGTGTCACAGTGCAGGGTTACTACAGTGCAATGGCGCACTGGTGCTGTGCTGTGCTGTAATGATGCAACAGTGCAGGGGTGCAGCAACACAGTGGTGCCATGCTGCTGTGGTGCAGTGATGCAGTGTGCCATGCTGCAGTGTGCCATGCTGTGAAATTGCAGTGGTGCAGTGGATTTTAGATAGGCCCATTCTCAAGGCTGCCACAGCTCATCAGCATGGAGCTTTGATATCCTAGGAATTTGTCTTTTTTTTTAAGATTTTATTGGTGAATTGGGGGAAGGGGAACAGACAAGTTGCTGTCCTTTGTTCTTCAGTCTAGTTGTGGAGGATGTCACTTCACTGGCCCATGTTGGTATTATCATTGCGCTCTTCCCAGGTGAGGCGGTCACTTGCAGGCCATTGGATCGCCGCACATGATGGCTCACGGCAGCTCATGAAAGCTCATGCCAGATGCCGGCTGCTCATGCTGGCTGCCGGCCACACACGGTAGCTATGGCAGCCCACTGCCTCCCCACTGCAGGGTACACCATCACTGGCAACAAACAACAGCCCAGCTCCAGGTCGAGCTGTTGTTCACCATCTTAGCTGTAGAGGGCGCAGCGTCACTGGCCCTCATGTGGGATCCGAACTGGGGCCCTGCTGCTCAGAGCTGGCGTCCCAAGCCAACTCCTAACCAACACGCCACTCTGCCGGCCCAGGAATTTGTCTTTTAGGCAGAAGAGGTTTGACATGGGGTGAGAACCGCTGCTCTGAGCCCCCAGGCAGCTGCTCACCTCCTCCGCCAGGTGGGAACACTGACGTCACCCCCATTCCCTGCGGCACTGCTATTGGGGGGTCATGACCTGCCAACATCACCCACTGTCTTGCATGTCAGTGGGCAGGAGAGAACGCCCTTTAGGCAGAGCAGCTGCTGGGACCCGCCCCTCCCTGCTGTCTTCCTGCCCCGGAGGCTGAGCGTCAGTTGCCACTTAGTACCAGCATTTGTGCTAAAGGTAGAGAACTGCTTCTCAGCAGCCACACCATCTTACAAGTGAGAAAAGCAAAAGGTAAACAGGCAGACAGCGTGGTCATTTCATACTACTGTCTGCTCCATCTAAGTCCATGGTTCTCAGTGTGGCCCCTGGCTTTGGGGTGTCACCACCCTGAGAAGTGGCTAGAAATAGACCCTAGGCTCCTCCCAGACCTGCCGAAGCAGCCCCCAGGGTGGGCTGGCCGCCTGCATGCTCCCCAGCTGACCCCCCCGGGGCTCGGGCGCTCATTTGCCTTGGCCACGGCTTCTCTAAGGGTTTCACTCGGCCGGGCCTGTGGGAGGGGGCAGGGCTGTCGGGCTGAGCGGCACCCAGGGGCGGACACCCCGTCACTCACATCATGCCGAAGTTTCCCGAGGATGGTCGGGAACATGGCCACGGGCGCGTCCATTCCTGAGAAGCCCACCTTGGAGAAGCCGGAGCCGTAGTCGCAGACGAGGGGCATGCTCATGGCGCTGTGTGTGGCCGGGTCAGGGCTGCAGGAGAAACGGCACGGCTGGTGTGCAGGGCCCTCGTCTCAGGGCAGGCGGGGCCCTGGCCGGGGGATGAGCCACTGTTCCGATGCTGTAGGCAGTTGGCTGGAACAGGTGGGCCTTCTGAGGACCGCCGACACGGGCTGCCCAGGAGAAGGGAGGACATTGGCATGAGCTCCGGGGCTAACACTTGTGGGGTGACACGGCCTCCACCAGGTTCTGGCGTGGCCCGTGACCCTTCGCTGGAGTCATCTGAAGCCTATTCATTAAGGCAGGGGCTTTGGGCAGGGGCCGGCCGGGAGGAGACCCCAGTGGGAGCTGTGCTCACAACCAGGACCCCTTCCGCTCCCCAGCTCAAGCACTGCCTGTCCTGGGGGACTTCGCTGGCCTCCTGGCCCCGGGTCGAAACCAGGCCCTCCTTCCATTTCACATCTAGACAACTTCTTCCATGATTTTGCAAGTTTAAAAACAGGAGAAAATATGAAGAAGAAAATCATAATCACCCCATACTCCTACCGCCTACAGTTGCCCCCGTTATATTTTGATATTTGCTTTCAACCTATTTCTGTGTACCACTTTTTAAGCATGAATCACCCTCAAAATGAAGGGATCCACTTTCTATTTCAAATATTGCATTTAACCAAATCTTAACCATGACAAATGGTTCCTTCACTTAAAAGCGATTTGAATTCTTCTTCACACAGAGAAAGACTACCGGTTCATTCCAGAGCGCAGAGAAAACGAGGAGGAAAGATAAACCCTCCCCAGACCCACTAATCACAGGTGGTCCTGGGCGTGGCCCTTCCGGTCCCTAGGACAGCACAGGGGCATCTCCCGCCTCGCCCCGGGGCCTCCGCGTGCTGGACAAGTTGTGTACACCATTTACATACTGAGTCGGGAGCACTCCACACGCAGCTGTGCACTAGACTTCCTTCTGAACATGAGAAGCACCCTGTGTCACCCATGTCACCTGAGACAGCTTCTACCTTCTGCCCCTGCTCTGACTCCTTCAATTGCCCCCGCTGTGGACTGCCAAGAGCCTCTCTTTTTGGTTTTTGTGAATGAGCCTGTGATGAGGCTCCCGGCCCATCGTCCTTGTCCTGAATTCCTGATTGGCTCCTTACCACGTGCGTCCTTACCACGACCAGTGGGGGTATCGAGAGCTTTCAAAGCTCCTAGAACGTGGGGCAAACCTGCCGTCCAGAAATGTGGGTCGGAGCATGGCTGCCACGTCAGGGCACGTTCCCTGCTGGGCTCCGTGACGTCCCTGTGCCCAGGGTTCCTAGGGAGCACTCTGTGGCCTCCTCAAGATCGCTTTGGAATCCTGGCCTGTCCTTGGGGGACGGGACTTCACTCTCACTTGGGAGTTTCTAGGGGTGTCCTGTTTGTCTGCATGCTGGTCGGGTATCTCCAGCCGTGTGTAGTTCTCGAAGGCCGGACCTTGGCTGCCTCTCCTTCTCCGTGGCAGGGTGTGGGGCGAGCTGGGGGGAGGGGAGCCTGCAGTGCAGTCAGGTTCTTGGGGCACTTCACCGTGCAGGAAGCACGAGTCTGAACTTGCTCACCTGTTATGCTGAGGTGGGATCAGTGTGGCAAGTATTACCATCACCATCATCATCGTCACAGACCTCTTGACAAGCGAGGGCTTGCCGCCCGTCCCCCGACCAGCGAGGCAGGCCTGGAGGGAGAGTCCAAAGGCCACGTTCTTTGCACAGAATTGAATTCATCCTGGGGCTGGTCCCGCAGTTTCCTTCTTCCTTTGGTATAACGGCATCTGAGCTCAGAGGAACCATGCGGTTCTTCCTGCTTTGTTTTAGACCATCTGAAGCTGGCTTCCGTTTCCATTTCTTCAGCGAAAGGAGGAAAATGAGGCCATGAGTAAGGATGCCGCTGTCCCTGAGCCAGCACATGGCCACCTGGGATGTCCTGAGCGGAATGAAACGGGTCCAGAGCCGGGGGGGCCTCTGCTCCACCGGCTGACTCACCAGGGCGGCGGGACCCAGGGCGGCACGCTGGGCGGAGGGGTGCTTTTCTGCTTTCCTCCAAGTCCTATGGGCCTGGGACTCCCTTGTGAATGAAAACATTCAGTATCAACACATGGGAACGGAAATCTAAGGAAAGTGCGAAGGAAACTGAGAAGGAAACGTTCAGCTTGTTCGAGAGGAAAGCGTTTACCCACATGACTGACACGCAAAGGCAGGCGAAGGCTGAGGCCCCCATATTTTAGGAACTGCACCAGGCACGTACCCCGTGCCAGTGAGAACAGGGGACGAAGGAAACCTGGTGCCCACCGGTACCCCAGCTGCTGTCCCTCCATGTCACGGCTCCTGCACGAAGCCACTGTGATGAGACTGGCAGGCATGTGTCTCCCTGACCCGGGTAGGGCTTCTCCAAGTTGGTTGTCAGCCTCTTAGGGCCTCTGCTTCTCTTTTTCTGTCGTGACGCTCTGTTCTTGGGGCCCTGGGGGCGGGGCTCTGGGGCCCCTGACCCCACAGATGGCCACATGACCCATGCCAGCAATGAGACTATTCCACACCTTGGCCACTGTGGTCAGCTGAATGATGAGCCCGTCCCAGTGCCACGTCCTGATGCCCAGAGCCTGTGAACCTGTCACCTTACGTGGCAAAAGGGACTGTGTAGGTGTGAGCATGACGCGGGGAGGTTAGCCTGGGTTTCCTGGTGGGCCCTATGAGTCACAAGGGTCCCTATAAGGGGTAGAGTGAGGCAGGCGTTAGAGTCAGAGAGAGATGGGAAAATTCTGCGCTGCTGGCTCTGATGATGGACGAAGGGGCCAGGAGCCAGGGATGCGGGCACCTCTAGAAGCTGGAGAAGCAAGGAGACCGCCCCGGAGCCTCTGAGGGGCTGTGGCTGTGCTGACAAGCAGACAAGCAGACTGGGCCCAGTATTGCCCATTTTACACTCCAGCGTCCAGGACTGAAAGTTGATAAAATTGCATTGTTTCAAGTCCCTCGGTTTGTGGCAACTTGTTACAACGACCCTTGACCCTCGGTCAAGAGGTGGGCATGTGACCCAGGCCACGGTCTACGGAGGACCTGTATAACAAGGAGCTGCTCTTCCCCTGAAAGAAGCTCCCCGTGTGGTTTTTCTTTCCCATCGAGGCATTCATCTGAACAATTGGTGCAGACCCACCGTGTTCTAGCCATTCTTGCTGGCCAGAAAGGGTTTTGAAGTTTTCAAACTCGGAGACCTCCAGGATTCTCCGTTTGGACAATAGCCGTACCGTTGCCAGCTAGCTTCTCACTCACTTTTCTTGGCTTCTACCGCCGAGCCCACCCAGAGCAAAGGTTCGCCATTTCAGCAGAGAGGCCCCCTCTCCGCCGGACTGAAACTGCTCCTGGGTCCTGTCCCTGTCTTGCAGACCCTTCGCCTGAATCTCCTGGTCATGCTGCATGGAGGTGGCCAAATGCATCTTCTGCAGAGCGTGTCAACGTGGCTGCCAATTCCGGCCCGGTCCGTGCCTGCAGGAGGGGCAAGGAAGGAGCAGGCTGGCTAAATCTGGGTCCGGCTGTGCTCCTGTTGTGAAATTGAGGCATTTGACCCCATGAGGGGTTTCCTTGCTTGTACAAGTCTTGCCCTGGCTTGTGTCGCTGCTGCGAAATGCAAATGCTTTGAATTTTGAAGACATATTTGGGGAGAAATTCCAACACATTTTCATTTACCCATGGCCGTAAGCAAATGAAGGGGAGCCTTGAGTAGAACCGTGGTTCAAACGTGGACTTTTTGCTCTGCGTTAACTTGTTAACAGAAACCCAGGTCACTTTCCTGAGTGACCTGCCAGGAGCGCCTGACCCTGGGACCGGGGAGGCTGCCTGTGTGCTCACACCCGCAGAAACTATGGAATTCCAGTTGCTTTCAGAATTGAAAGGGGCTGCATAATAATTGGGCCCAATCGCCACCCAGTAAGAAGTCTTTTTCAATAATTAGAGGAAAAAGGTAAAAAGAAGCATCAAAAGAAGACATAAAACCATTAACTTTTACACCCGAGAAACCCTGAAGCCCGCCTTGCTTAGGATGCCCCAACCCCCGGGAAGCAGCCCCCTTTCCTCTCACCTCTGCGGCCCTGGGAGGAGATGAGGCAGCTGTGGCCTGAGTCTCAAGGGCATTGGTGATTATTCAGCAATTGGTGGTCTTGCTCAGTGACATTTTCTCTTCCTATTAAAACAGAGAGAGAGAAAGAGAGAGATGATTCCGAGACACTCTGATTAAACAGCGAAAACATCTGGGCCAAACCAGCGCCGCTGAGACAAAGAACCGTGTGAGAACTACTACATGCTGTGAAGCCCACCCGCCACCTCCCCAGCCCTTTCCATCAGGGGACAGACCGTTCCGTACACCCAAGTTACCCGGGTAACCGAAGCCTCACAAAACACATCGTTTATAAACACACAGCCTCTCTAAAGGAAGTCACAAACCTGTCTGCCTTCTTAAACCAGGGTGCTGAGTGTCAGCTAACCTTTAATTGGTGGCTTGAGGCTGTCGTCATGAACAACAATCGCACTGTGCTGTAACAGTGGTGACCTCAGGGGGCCTTGCAGCTGGCCATCAGTCCCAGCCTGAAGTGACCCCGGCCTGTGGGCTCTTAGTTTTTATGTTTGCCTTTCCACTTTTTCTACATTGTACCGTTGTTTTAGAGCTTGTTGCCCTCTAGGGGTCTGTCCTGCTCAGGACAACAGGAACCCCAGCCCCAGCCCGACCCCTGAGGTGGAACCATTGGGCAGAGCTGCCCTCAGCCCCGGGCAGGGGCTGGAGAGGGGCCCAGGCGTCCTGGCCTGGACAAGGCCAGGCCGGAAGGGGCTGCAGTCCCTCTGTGGGCGGGACATCTTGATTGAAAGCACGGTGCATGCCAGGTGGAGGCAGTGTTCTAGCTCATTGTGGACGCTGCACACACCCCATCGCAGGGGTGGAGCTGCACCATAGAAGGCGGTCAGGACCTTCTAGCACCTGGCGTACTTACAGGCACCGTGGCTTCACTTCCGCCAGTTGGGACATGGGTGTGGCAGCACAGCGGGGGACTTAACGTCAACAGCCTCACTTCCCTGCGTCCAGGACCTGGCTCCTGGTGCCATCTCCATAAACATTTCAGAATAGCCACCTGGAAGCTCTCATCTCTGGGGAGCAGGACCCAATTGGACAAACCTTGCCCTTCTCCCAGTTTGCTGTGCTCTGAGTGCCAAGGGCTTGCAGAGCAGCGACCCGGCATGTGAGAATTCTGTGTGTAAGGAGAGGTAGAAGGCTATCACGGGAGCTTGCGGGGACAGAGGACTCAAAGCTTCACCGATAAGCCTGAGGGCTCCCAGGCCACGTCGTGTGGCTTCACATCCTGCTTCACCGTCACCTGCAGAAAATGGCTGCGCTTGGAGCTCCCGCTTCCTCCCTGTGCAGCGGGACAGCGAGCACGAGCCCCATCTGCCAGGACTGGGGTGACGCGTGAGTGGGCCACCGCATGGAAAGGACTTTGAAGAGGGCTGAGCGTGATCAATGTTGGTCACCATGTATCCACGGGGCCTTGTGGCTCTGGTGTGCCATCTGCACGGGGACTCTGTCCCACCGTCAGCTCCCTCTGCACCCAGAGCGTCTCTACAAAAAGCTGCAGCCGCGGGCTGGCCGAGTGGCGCGATGGTTAAGAGCTGGCTTGGGACGCCAGAGGGCCCCGGTTCGGATCCCACATATGAGGGCCAGTGACACTGCCCTCCACAGCTAAGATGCTGAACAACAGCTCAACCTGGAGCTGGGCTGCCGTCGGCGTAGGCTGCAGCCCCTGTGGCAGTGGGTTGCCATGGGCTACCGTATGTAGCCAGCAGCCAGCGTGAGCGGCCAGCAGCCGCAGTGAGCGGCCGTCCAGAAGCCGGTGACTGATCTGCCTCGCCCAGGAAGAGCGCAATGATGGTGCCAACTTGGGCCAGTGAAGTAACGTCCTCCACAACTAGACTGAAGAACAAAAATGACAGCAACTTGTCTGTTCCCCTTCCCCCAATTCCCCAATAAAATAAAATAAAAAATCTTAAAAAAAAAAAAATAAAAAAGCTGCAGCCGCAGCCGCCCTGCCTGGCACTTTTCTCCAGGAGGCCCCACCGCATAGCTCTGCTTCCCATGCCTGAGGATCACTGTCTGTCCACCAGCCTGTCCTGTTGGTTCACGTGGGTGACCCGTCTGGCTCCCCTTCTCCATACAAAGATACAACGTGCATGTAATATGACGCATAGTTTCAGGAGCACGGAGGGATGGCATTCTTCGTTGGCCTGCACCCTTGTGACCAAGACAGGGAACGTTCCCAGGCCCTGGAAGGTGTGCCCTGTCCCCTCCACCGCCTGGCCCCTGGAGGTGACCTCCCTCTGTCCTGTGTCCTGTCCCTGGATTCGTACACATGGAATCCTGGAGTGTGTGCTCCTGGGTGTTTGCTTCACACCATGTCAGCCATCCACGCGTTGTGTGCAGTGGTGGGTTTGCTGTCCCCTCCCATCGTTGTGTGGGCTTCCGTGCGTGGCTGTGACACACCGTTCCCACGCACATGGATAGGCCTTGCTATTTACGGATGCTGCTGCCATGGGAACCCTTGGACTTTGGGGAGCATGAGTGTCTATCGCTGGGATTACACCAGGAGCAGGGGAGCTGGCGCCTACAGGACACGGGAGCCCGGCCGTGGGAGACGCTGCCAAACACTCTCCCCAAGGGGTGGTGCCCAGTCCCACCCCCGTCACCGCGTGACATTGTGACATGTCCCTGTCTCTGTGCCGTTCTGGGGGATGGGACGTGGCTCAGGGTGGGTCTCTTTTGCATTTCCCTGATGACTGACGATGCTGGGCACGTTTTCATGTTCACTGGTCACTTTGTTCAAGTCTTTGTCTCATTTTTAAAAATTCACCCCTCGGTCATTTTCTTGGCGATTTATTTCTAAGAGCCGGTTCTATATCCTGCAGGCGACTGCCCCCTGGTGGACGGAAGCGCCACTGCAAATAGCTCTCCTTGCAAATTGCCTTTTCACACTTAACGTTTTCTTTTGATGAAAAGATCTCGATTTCATCAAACTCCAACTTCTTTTATATATTTTTTTTGGTGGTTAGTACTTTCATTGTCCTGTTTAAGAACTCCTTGCCTAGCCAAGATCACCCTGTTATTTAGAAAAGATTTACCTTTTATGTTTAGGTGAGTGATCCAATCTCAACCTTTTATACGTGAGTTGGAATCGAAGTTTATTTTTCTCCATATGGGTGTCCATCTGACCCAAAAGTTAGCATTTACTATTTTTCCATTTAAAAATTTTTATTGAAAAAACGCTTCTCTTCCCTCACTCGCAGGGCCCCGTCTTCAGTATGTGACCCTGGAACAGCCCTGCAGCGTTCAGGTTCTCTTGGTTATCTCAGAAACATTCTGGACTTTTCCGGGCACTTTTTAAAATTAAATTTCAAAATTGAAAGTCTTGTACTTTTAAAATTAAATTTTATTGTGTTTTTGGGGTTTGGATGCTTTCATAAACGGTATTAAAAAAAATCCTTCATTTTCCTTTTTTTTGGCCAGGATAGGAACAAACCAGGTGTTTGCACCTTGACCGTATAGCCTACAATCTTGTGAAAGTCACCGAGCAGGACTCACAGCTGTGTTCTAGACGCCTTTGGGTTTTCTACGCACACAGTTGTATGGGGTCCCCAAGCCCACGCTCAGGTTCGGTGGCTCCCCGGGAGGACTCCCAGGATCCGCACATACCGTGAAAGGACACAAACCAAGATCAGCCAAAGGAAAGGCGCCTGGGTGAAGCTAATGGTTGGCGACAGCATCTCATCTGATACATCTTTTAGTTCGTGGAAAATGGAGGTGGGCTCTGGGCTGCCGCCTGCCGCCTGCCGCCAGATAGCAGTAAGCTTGTTGGAGCAGGATGGGCGGGGTCCCTCTTGCCTCCTGCTCTGATTCTGGCCGCGTGGACTCTGGTAGCTAATCATGGTAACATCCCCCGTCAGTCCACGGACTGTGTGCAGGCGGCTGTGCTCACTGCTCAACCTACATCAGCTCGTGGTGTAAAGCGTGCCTTCCCCCCACGGGGGCACTGGGGGTGTGGGGTGACTCACTCCAGGCCAGCAGCTGGACTCGAAGAGCCCTGGGAAGCACATCCAGACGCCTGGCTCGTACTTTACCTGGGAAAACCAGTCTTTGACGGCCCAGAACTAAAACCTGCTGAGCCTGTGTCCTCCCCACGGGGAGAGGCGGGGCAGCTCAGAGCACAAAGACCCTGGATCGCGTGGGGGTTTCTGCCCGGAAGACCGCCATGCTGCCAGGTGCTTCTCTCCAGCACAAGGTGACTCTGATGTGGCGCCCGTGACCGGCCTGCCGGCCTGTGTTCTGGGTGTTGCCGCCTTAGGTAACAACAGGAGGTGTTTTACAGAAACGGAATCACAGAGTATGCAAATCCTTTTCGGATCTCTTTTCTCATTCGAACCACAGAGACCCATCCAACTTGTGTGGCTCCGTGGTTACTCCCTGTTACTGATGAGCAGTAGCCATGTCTCAATCAGCTTACACAACACAGAGAGCTCTTGTGTGTCTTCCTCTTCGGTTGGAGCTGCCAGCATTTATGGAGGGATCAGAAGCCTCAAGAACCCTCTAGAAGAGTCCCTGGTGATGCTGTTGGTCCAGGTGATCACTCCCCAACCCCATGTGAAGATCTGAGTTTGGTAAGGGGCAGGGTGGGGTTCTGTGGGGCGAGAATAACCTGCCCTCCCCCAGAAAAGAGAGGTGCCGAGTGGACTTCACTTTGCAGTGGCGTTGCACTCAGCTTTGCCTCTTGTGCCGAGGGCCCAGCTGAGTCGCGGCCCGGCCTTCCTTCTCCCGACCTAACTGGCGAGCAACACCCACTTCCAACAAAATCTCCCAGCAGACGAGAAAGGGAGCTCCGAAGAGAAGGGGATGACCACACTCTCGGCCTCCATCCCTCCTCAAACAGCTCTCCCTGCACAGACAGCAGCAAAGCTACCTGGTTGGCATGGGAACCATCACCCCCAGAATTCCCTTTGCTCTCTGGCCTGCTGAGGGTGGAGGGTTCACTTTCTCAAAAGCAATGCCTCTATCCGTCCCAGCCATGTGCAGCATTTAAAATCTGCACCTCTCAGGGGCTACTGAAAAGGAACATTAAAAACACGGAAAATCAAACAAGCCCGACAGGCCACCTCCTACCCCACCGTGCAGCTCCAGCGTGTTAGCCTTGTGTGTCTGCACGCCTCTCCTGGACGCATTTTGTTTGAAAAACTTAGCCTCAGTCACACTCGCATCAGTGTCCTCATCGGTAAGTGCGTCTCTTCTTCCTTGAATGCCTCATGGGAGTCCTTGAGCTGAATTACTGGGTCAGAATTCATCTCTGAAAGTGTCTGTGTTCACGTGTGGAAACTGCCCTCCAGAAAATCTGCCTCGTTGGCTCCCCCACGGGTCCTGCTGACCTTGACAGTGCTGGGGACGGACGTCCCGACAACGTCTGCTGATGCGATACTTATGAGAGGATCCCACGACGTTCATCTCTGCTCCCTGGTTGACTAGAGATTAAAGTGTCCCAGGTCGTCACTGGTTGTTGGCGTTTTTTACTAACTGCCTATTCACGACGTTTGCTTATCTGGTCTTAGATCTAATTTCCTACTGGTTTTATATCTTAGAGATAACAAGCCTGTGACAAATACATTATAAATACCGGGGATGCCCAAAAAATGTATACACATGACTTGTATTCATCTTTTGTTATCGGTATATATTATTACAATTTTAATACAGTTTTTTTCCTTTCTTAAAATGTGTATACATTTTTGGGGCACCCTCTGTATATTTCTTCCTCAAAAATCTGTGTTTTAATTTGGTTTATGGGCTTTCCCTTAACATCGGGATTATCATCTCAGTGGTGATTGAAGGGGAAAAGCGTGAGCAGGGCCCGGCTTCACGACAGTGTGTTGGAGACAATGGTGAGGGGGCCTGAGTAACAGCCCCCCAAAGATGTCCACGTCGCGGTCCAGGAACCCGGGGCTGAAAGGAGCTAGGCAGATGTGACTCATCACTTCAGATGGGAGATCACCCAGGTGGGCCCAACGTCACCACAGATGTCCACATAAGAGGGGGCGGGGGACATCTAACTAAAGGCAAGAAGGCAGAGGGACGCGGGGAGCACCAGCAGCTGGGGGACAAGAGGAAGGTCCCCGAGAAGCCCCGGCGGGAGCACAGCCCTGCGGACGCCTTGGATTCAGTCCTATCTGGCGCACTTCGGATTCTGGCCTCCAGAACTCAGGAAAATTAATTAGTGCTGTTTACAGCCACCAAGTTTGTGACCATTGGTGGCAGCGGGGTTAGAAACTAATGCACTTGGGTTTGAATGTGGCCCACTGGTTGTCACCAGGGCCGTGTGGCTTCAAACCCTGAGCCTGTTTCCTAGTGTGATCACCCCATCGCCTCTGAGCGACCAGTAACCTGCCAGCCCCCCTGGGGGCAGAGGCACGTGCAAGAGGCCACCACTCCCTGGCTGGGGATCAGAGAGCAGGCTGGAGGTGACATTTCACGGCACATTGCTGGAGCTGTGGGGTGGCTTCTGTGGGGGGGATGGGGGACGGGGGAGGTGCAGGACGCTCTAATCTCAGGGGCAATGGCCCCTTTGCACGTGCCCACCCTGCAATGGCCCTGTCAACACCTGGTGGGGCTGAGGGGACAGAGCCCTTTTCCAGAGGAGCCCCACCTCTCACCGCCGGCCCCCAGAGCCTTCGCCATCTCCTGCTACACAGTCCAGCAGCCCTTCCCCTGGGGGGACAGAAAGCCTGGCTGTCCGGGCTGTGGCTTCACCGAGAGTGCAACACGCTTTGTAAGCAGCGACTGAGAGGCCGGCGTGTCCTGACCTCGCTGTGCAACAAAGGTAAGGCTCCTGGGTCCCCCTGGCCTCGCCCGGGGAGGCCGGGCGCCTTCATCTGCACACAAAGCAGGCCAGTGAGGCAGGGGCGGCGCGGCCTGGCCTGGCGTTGCCTGAACACACCGCACCACCGGTCACACTGTGGCCCAGCTCAGAGACGCCGACACAAACCAGCCCTGGCTGGCTGGGAGGAAGGCCCGAGGAGGGAACCTACAGCTCTCCAGAGAGGCCCCCTAGAGCAAGGCAGGAAAGTAGTAACTACCCTCATTTCTCCAACAAGGAAGCTGACGCACAGAGAGGGTTAGTCACCTGCACAAGGTCACACAGCCGTTGGTAGGCGGAGCCAGGTTCTGAGCTCATAACCACCACACTCCAGCCTCCTTAAAACAAATCTGCTCAGTATCTGAGGAGGAAGAAAGGGTTCGTGTACGCAGGACCATCCGGGGTGGGGGTCCCTGGTCCAGCCGGCATTCGAATCACTCACGTAGCTTGTGCCAAATACAGGTGCCTGGGAGCCGCTCAGGCCCACGAGCTCCGATGGGCAGGGGTGGGGCAGTGCTGGAAGACGGGTTGAAAGCGGCCTGGGTGAGGCCCCAGCCCGGGGCCTCCTGTCGCGTTCAGCCCGTCCTTACTTGACACAGAGACGGCACCGGCCTGCCTGCCCCTCCCCGCCCAGGGCACGGGCGCCCAGCTCATGGCTTGTTCCGCTCTGGCTTCTCCAGGTGTGAGGCAAGCCTGACAGCAGCGTCCTGGCCCCCTTCACTCGCTGGGGGGCTGCGGCCACGCTGGGATTGCTCCTTTCATCAAATGGAACGGACTCCCACGCCCAGCACAAGAACGGCCCCAGTGGAGGAGGGTCGACGCTGGGGGAGCGTGGCACACACCCCCCGAGTCCCTCCAGTGGGTCCCCAAAGCTTTGAGGCAGCGCCCCAGCATCTGATCCCTTCTACGTGCCAGAAAGTGAGCCCTTGTGTAGGGCTGGGCACACGGAGACAGAAACCACACGAAGTCTGAACTTGGAAGTTTAATATAAAGAATTATTACTCTACGAAGGTAGTCATGTTGAAAAGGAATTTTCAAGAATGCCCTATGGTTGAGGGAGCATGCCCAAGATA